ATTATTCGAATAATACTATATCTTGATTGAATAATATTTTCGATTTTCGTTAACAATATGGTTACATAAAATAAAATTTTCAAGTGTCACTGCATTATTATAAAATTGTTTTTAAGAAATATTAACAAGGTTTAAATATAATTTCTATTCTTAAAGATAAAGAAGAAAATGTATACAAGTTAAATATAGATAAACGAGTAAAAAATACAAATTTCTTATTTTGACTAGAGAGTTTAAAACCTATTATTATTATTACTTGTACTATATACGATTCAATAAATAATAATTACTAAATTGCACAAAATTGCATTTATCAACAATGGAAGTATATCAAGTTCAATAACATTCATAATAGATAAAAAATTAAAAAAAATATATATTTATTTCTATTTTTGTAAAGAAGATCTAGTTATATCAGAACAAACAACTAAGTGCTTGTTAATAACAATAAGTATCTAATACTAAGTTCAAATGATTCAATTAAAGTATAGAAAATTTCCGTTGCTTCTTGCATTAGCACCATTAATATTCAAAATTAAAGTTTTCTTTTTTCATTATAATAGCTAATATATGAATATTATAAATTATTATATTTTTCTAAAACCATTCTTCATATTGATTACCCATGGTTCATCTCATTAAATCTGCTGCTCTTTGTCTGTCTCGATGTACTTCTCGAGGATGCATTCTTTTACGATGTGAGAAACAGTTTCCAGAACTTGCGAAAGCTTTTGGACAGTATGGACATTGATAAGGCCTTGCACCTGTATGTTGATTTATGTGAAATTTTAAATCTTGATTTCTTTTAAAAGTTTTATCACAAAGAGGGCAGGCGTGCGGCCTTAAATCCGAATGCGTTATACTATGAGCTCTTAATGTAGAATTTGTTGGATAAACTCTTCCACATACATTACATGGAAATTGTATTCCACCATGATACTCTTTGTGTCTGAATAAATTTGACTGTGTTTTAAAACTAAAATAAGAGTAATTTTATTAATAGTTATTTTATTAAATATTTAATTGATGATACTTACATTCTACCACATATGTCACAACCATATTTTCCCTTAGGCCGATGAGTTTCCAAATGTACTTTTAAATTACCTTTAGTAGAAATTTTTTTACTACAAATTGGACAGACAAAATTACCAGATGAATTGTTGTCAGTATTTGTATGAAGCACACCATTAGTAGAATATACTTGTTGTGATCTTAAAATAGGCTTTCCATCAAGTCGTTTATCTTTAGGCAAATGAGACCATAAATGATTTTGTAGACCAATTTGAGATATAAAAGATCGAGCACATATTGTACATTCATGAGGTTTTGTTATATCTGAAATGTGTTCTTCAGTATCTTCTTGTGATTTATCATTATTCTCTTCTTCTTTTTCTTTTTTTATTTCATCACTTCTGTAAGAAATAAATGAAATTTAACATATATATTAAAAAAGTATGAATATAAAAGTATTAATATAAATATTCTTACTTATTTGTTAATGATAATGGTTCTGAAATATTCATTCTTGTTATTATTTCTTCTGTATCAGATGCTTCTGAAGTTTCTGATGCTGAATGTTCCATACCATATTGTAAAAATAACATTGGATCTACTTTGACTTCCATTTCCTCCATACTTGGAGTATGACATATATCATCTTGTGTTATGAATTCTGATGGTCCCAATGGTTCACCTTCAGCTAAAATTTCTATTGCTCCTAAAAAAAATATATGTTGAATAAATATTTTTCAATTAATTTAAGATATAATGATTATAATATATACTTTAGTTAATATTGTATGTAATAATCCTCGATCTTCTATCCTTCTTGTTGTGTTTTGCATATCTTTAATACTTTCTCTTTCCATATCTTGTGTATTTATATTATCAATATTATTATATAATTGTATTTTTAATTTTTCTTGTGTTCTATATGCCATCATAGCAAAACGATGAATGCTCTCTAATCTTTTAATACAAGTAACACATACCATTTTTGATAATTTATCTTCAGAGGATACCTGTAAAATTAAGAATAAAGAATATTATAAGAATCAAAAAAACTCAAAATAGACAAAATGTAAAAATTTTTTATAAAAAAAAATTAGAAATTAATAGAAATATGAAAAATTATGGAATATGAATTAATGGAATAAGAAAAATTAATATTTAATAATAAAATATTTATCATATATTATCATAAAAATATTAAAAATGTTAAAAATATTAAAAATATTAAAAAATTTTCATAAATTTTTTAAAAAATTATAAATATTTCTAAATATTTTATAAAATTAATATATTTTATTATTTTATTAATAAAAATAATTTTTTATATACATTTTAATTTTTTACATTTTTTTATAGAATCTTTTTAATAAATAAATAATAACCTTAATTATATATTAATAATTAATCTTATTAAATTTATTTAAATCATATAAAAATATTTTCTAATATTTTAATTATATTAAATGTTTTAAATATAACTTTAAAAAAAACTTTACTCATTATTTTTGATTTATCTTGTGTACAGAATTATATTTATAGATGCGCTAGTTACATAGTACATATAGCATACTTATTGTAATCAATAAAATGCTAATTTTTAACACTTCTGTATTCTCATCAAAATGGATTCTTCCATCTTCTATTTATGGAAGAGAATTTTGATTATTCTAAATAAAATGTATACATATAAAAATTAACATAATTAATATTTATATTAATTTATACAAATAATAATAAAAAACATATTTCTTGTTTAAAATTTTTTAAATTCTAACAATTTGATAACTAATTTTTTTATTAATGATTTTAATTAATTATCATTAATAAATAATTTATATATACTAACAAATATATGCAATAATTTTAATGTTCTGTTTGTTGAAAAAGATGTTATATTTATAAATTTAGATTGATGTATATTATTATATTTTAAAATTTTACAGCAATTCTCAAATTTAAAAATAAATATACATGTATTTCATATATTTATGAAAAAAAAAATATAGAAAAGATTGAGCGCGAAATATCGCTAATAGAATACTAGTAAAGTTTTCGAAAAAAAATACGTATAAGTTAGTTATATACTATTGTGAATATATATATATGCGCATACAACAGCATTCGCGCTTATTCATATGGAGCAGAAAAAGACTTACCAAGATGTACAGATATTTTCGTATTTTGGTTTGCAAGTAGTGCCGTCTACCATCCTCTGCGAAAATGTGAACCCCATCGTTTCTTGGTATGTCACTAGCACAAATTCGGCAGTGGATCTCGTCCTCCCGATCGCGCTCAAAATCGCGACCCGCCGTACCCATTTCAAAAAGAAAGAAAAAAAATGACAAGATATCACCACGCTAAAAAAATGTTCTTGTTATTTAATATTTTTTTTCACTATTTATATATATAAACACATTTTAAAAAATAATTTATGTTAAATGATTCACGCGGCTCTGTTTCACAATGTTAAATTCATTGCTTATTATTATTTTCCCTCCCTTTTGATATTTTAACACCTTGATGAAAAATGACAGAAACGTTCGATATAAAACTTTCAGCAATGCATCTTTATGAATGTACCAATGTGTCTGAGAGAGTTGATTATTCTAACGATTTTTTTTACTTATGAGTCTCCCGGATTGGGTGAGATTACTTCAGCACAACGTTAACGCTTTAAAAACGACGTCGGCGCCGGGCGTCGGCGTCTCTCCCGAAACGAGTGCTCAATACAAAATATATAATAGCATTCGTCGATTTGAAAAACATATGTATATAACCAATTGTTTTATTTATGGATTCCGGTTATATTAAACAATATTATTATTAATAAACTATTATGTCTTTTATTATAATTCATTTGTTATTTATACAAGAATTGAAGATTTTATATGAAATCTATAAATTTGTACTTATAAAATATTACCCTTTGCTAGAAATAAAGAATAAAATGTATCAGCGCGGTACTCTTAATTGCTCCGCCATCTTCTTTCATTCATTCGTTTATATTTTTTATTTTCTTCGTGAATGATTTATCAGAGTTATATTACACTATACATCATTATTGAATCATAAGTTTTTCTTCCTGAAAATAGATCTCGATCGATACATTTGTTAGAAGTCACATTACACCAGCAAATTTTGTAGCAATTTTTCCAAATTTTCCCGCCATTTTTCTGAGTATGTATTACTACGCCTGTAGTAGGAGAGTGAATGTAGACGTTTTTGTCGCAACGAAAAATAGTTCCAAGTACTTGCGAACGAACAGCCTCCCCCTTGGATATGCTACGTCCCCATTTAAAAAAATCAATACTTAATAATTAGCAATTAATACACTTTCCAAGTATATACGACTGCTATCTTGTTTTCTGCAGTTTCTAATGTACGTATATGTTTTCTTGTTACGTAATGTTTAATCTTTATATATTAACATATAAATTTAGCTTTTTTAAAATTGCTAAAAAAAATTGTAATATTTTTATAATTGTATTTCATTATAAATAAAGAAAATATTGTTTTTAATTTACATAGCAAAGTTTGAAATTTAAATTCCTGAATAGTTATATCTTTAAGATTAGTAAATGAACGTAGATTCGAAAATCTACTAAGAAGTTATCTCTGTGAATTTGTATTTCTTTTAATACAAAATAAATTTGATTTTATACAAAAAGATACAAGTAATTAATCAATTTATACTTTTTATTAAATGAAAAATACAATCAAAGTAATTAATTAGATATAAATTTTATACATAGATTTTTTATGCATAAGTTATGTCAATTTTTAAATAAACTTTATTTTTTAATATAATTTGCATTTTAATATCTAACAGAAATATGTGTAAAAAATAAAATATATGTAGTGAAATATATATCATTCTTACAATGTTATTAACTATTAATATAGAACATATATATAGTAATTTGTTAATATACTAAGTACATGTTTAATAAATAAGTATTAACTGTAAATGAAAATCACAAAATTGATTAATTTATAAATATTTATAGTTTATTCTTGTCTTTTCTTAAACATTTTTCTGTAAAGTGTTAAAAAATTAGAACTAACATTAACATTTTGCCTTATTCTGAATTGGCAAAAATAATTTAAATTCTGCTGGCAATTCATCTTCTGAATATAGTCTATCAGAAAAGTATACTCTTCGTATTCTACAGTTTGCATGGATTTGAACCCTTAATGTTTCCACATAATTTGTTCCATATGCACGTCTAGTAAAATCAGCTAAATTAAATTGAATCTGATTCCATCCATCATCTAATCTCATTGGCATTGTACAAATAAATGGCTTTACTCTAGTTGTAGATTGATAATTACTAGCACGAAATCTACGGCGTACATTTTTGTCATCAATTACCTGAAATCAAATATTTATAATTATTTGAAATCTAATATCATATTTTGTTATGAGATAATTAAATATTTTCTTACCTGAACTTCAAATGTAAAATATTTTTTTAAATTCTTAATTATCATCACTAGAAATGGTAATTTTATACCTAATGTTTTTCTGGGATCTGCTGGACATGTTATATATGTAGTACTGACGTTACTACCCAATATTTCCAGTACTAAACTTTGTATATCATTATCCGTAATTCGTTTTATGTGCCCGTTTCTTACTTTTTTATCCCAAATTTGTAATGGCTTGCTACCAATACTATACAAAATTGACAAAAATCCACTTTGAAAAGTGTTTTTAAACATGTTCACTTGCTTATTTCTTCGTCAGTTTTTACAAAAATTTTTTCAGTTATTTTTCTTTATAAAAAACATGCGTTTAGAGAATTCAAAGAATTTTATGCTTTCGTTTTATCTACAACTTAACCTTTCATTTTATGATGTGAATTTCACTAAGAAGTTACATGATTTAAATGATTTTATTTTTGAAGTAATAAATCTCACATAACACTCAACATCATTCAGTTAACAAAAAAGCATCTGTAGTTTATATCGACATGTTTTTTGAGAAATTTTATTTGCTAAATAACTTTAGCGATAAACATAACCTATAACATTTGTGTTTGATCAATGTTGCTGTTAGATTTACAGCGACATCGGAAATCAATCGATTATCTCGAATGTATCGATTTTAGTCATTCGAGATATTAAGAATTTAAAATATAATTTGCGATTATTTAAAAAACTGAATATAATACATTTTAACATTTTTACAATCGTTTATTGATGTCAAATACAAACCGATAAAGTTTAAATAAGCAGTAAATATCTATGTATTAAACAATCATTTTTTTAAAACAGATATAACCATTTTTCGCCATAAAAAACTTTATCAGTGTAAAATCTGTACTGTCATAATTTTACTGTATTACTTAATTTTTTTCATCCGATCGCACTTTTTTTTTGATTAATATTACTCAAAATTATATTTTATGACTATATTCTCTTGAGGAATGAAGAGAAACAAAGTGACTAATTTATTATTAAGCACAACTTTCATTTCTATACCACAACATTAAAAACAATAATCGTATGATTATGATTTCTTCTTCCATTATTAGAAAAGCATGTTCTAATTACTTCTTTAACATAAACATATACAATATCATAAGGTAAATTAATATATTGTTTCAATTATTTTTTATAGAAATTTTTGAATGAGCTATACGCATTTTTTACTAGTTTGGAAATTATTTCTTTAACTATCGGTACACGATTCAAACAAACTTAAATTTTTTAATTATTCGAATATAAACGGCAAATTGTTTTATGTACTGAAAATATTAAAAATATTGAAATTTTTGTGCATTTATGTATCGATAAATGAAACACAAAATATATATTTATGATTTAATAATAATCAGATATATTAATTTTCATGTACCAATAGTATAACTGTCCGATAATTACAGATTTTAAAGAAAAGCGTTACTTGCAAAATAAGTATTTAGAATGATCTTTTATTCTAATGCATCCGCGTTATCTCTTAGAATCACATTTATTTTTTGTATTTCGTCGAGATATTTCCATTTTATATATCTTAATAATTAATACTTTATTTACTTATTGTTACCACTATAACTATTGTATTACAGTTTACGCGGATAAAATAGGTCCTGCAACAGGGGTACACTTTCGTAGGATTCATGTTTCTTTCTTTTTTTTTTTTACCGAAATAATTATGTGAAAGAGTCTTATCATGACTCGTTTTCCTTGTTCTTTTATTTGGAACACTGAATCCCACGTGAAGAAGGAAGGCCCACCTATGAAGCGATATCTCAGAAAAAGGAACATTCATTAACTCGTCCTCGAGTGACCTATAAATTATTCGGAAGGTTTCGCGTTACGAAAGGTTATCTGAAAGAAAAAAGTATTATAAATGATAGAAGCAATCCTTTTCTTCTATCTCCGTGATACGGAGGAGCATATTACATATTGTGGAAAATTAATCGTATTGAAACATTACTTGTGTATGTTTTTTTTAAGATTCATTAATATTTAAGAAACCCCTATAAAATGATACGATGAGAATAATGAATATAAGATAAGTCTTTATGCAAGAAATATAATATTATATTTTCTTTGTTCTTATATAGATAGAACATTTATTATTCGACATTATCTTTATTCATTATTGGATATTTTTTGTATCAACTTAATAGTTTATCGTTATAAACTTTTGGCAATAAGACAAAATTTGACAACGTTGTTTCTTAATGTTGTTTTTTCGTTATGACCAAGTTAAATATATTTTTTTTAATAATTATGACTCAACGAGGCAAATTTTGAATTATTACCATTTTATTTGTAATTTCCAATACATCCAGATTTATTTTCGTTTTAGATAATGGATGTATGAAAATTTGAATGTCCTCTACTTCTCAATATCTTGTAAAACACGAATATAACCCCAGAATGCTTCTAGGCCCCATAGAAAAGCAAATTGGGGCAATAATATGAATATATCACATTACCTTTTTTTAATTTTACAAATTTGAAAAACGGAAACTGGTAGAATATCCGAATACTTTTAAAGAGTCCCCAACCAATTGTCAAATCTTTTGCATTTGTTATCACTTATCTGTAATTAATCTTGTAAACCAGTGTAATAATATTGATTTAATAAAGCAATAGAAATTCCTAAATATTTTTTTTCATTTGCGTGAATGTTATGATCATAAAAAAACTGATTTTTCAGTTGGAGACACTTAATACACATAAATCCTTAAAATTTCTAATCAAATTTCATTTCAAAAAAATACACTCGTTTTAATTGTTATATACAATTTCAAAATTAATGATTATTAAGAATCCCGCTTTGCTCAACAAAACGGTAAAAGAATTTTATGAAATAATTTATGAAATATTTTATGAAATAAGATGAATCTACCAAAATTATTTTTAGATCTATATAAATGAAGACTCGTAAAATTGTTCATTGTACGCGATCATAGTAGGTAATAAGACATAACAGACATTTTATTCGCAAGAATAAGAGAAAGCCAAGGATTAAATAGAGAAATTAGGAGATGGCCGCATTTCATCTCAGATTTCAATATTTTTCGCTTAACATTTCTATAATGCTTTCATGATCATAAACCACGTCTCTCTGGAAAATGACCATTTTATTCATGATGTTTAAACATTTTGTTTATTGATTGTGGTCCTATCAATGAAATTGTTATAATAAATATAATAGAATCAATAAACCACTGTTAGGATCACAATCTTGATCAAGCACCAATAATTGTTTCACCACTTATTATTTCATGATGTAATTACATATTTAAGTGTAGAAAACATGATTTAAATTATAGTATTTATTTATGTATTAATGTTTACACTTTGTACCATTCTTGTATATAATTGTTATAAATATCCATCAAAGTTTACTACAAATAATCAATTTTTTATTATATATATATACACACACACACACTATATATATATATATATATATATATATATATATATATATATATATATATATATATATATATATAA